CATTATATTACCAAACATTTCAGGTGAATGTCAGTGAATTACTTATTACATCTATATTCCGTGGTTATGATGTCGATGATATTTCTTTACTTCAGTTGTTTAATCATACTTCTTTGCACAACGAAATGTCAGGTGACGATAATGACCAGCCGTACGACCGCCAAACGATACCATTGGTAGTGTTGAGGCTTTTTCTGTTATAAACCCATAACAGCCCACTTCCCGAAGACTGAAACAAATCATCTTGACATCCTTCTTCTGACTCAGAAAAACTGAACTCGCTTGTTGCATGAGAGTAACGGAGAATCGGATTCAACTTCATAGGACGAATTCGTCCAATTTAGAGCAAATTACTCGTGAAGTGAAAAGCAAGGAAGCTCTGGAAAGCTGTTTTGATTTGGTTTGCTCTTATCAGCAGTGCGAATCCACCACCTCATTTTGGATCGAACCCGGGACCTCACAGTCAAAACGCATGCATGCATGCTACATACTCGGTTACTGGACAATAGTGCTGATGAGATCCATTGAGTTCGAAACAGATGTAGTGCTTTCTAGCAAATACACAAACAATTCCCCCTGTGAAATTAAAATTGGTTTCGTTCAGTACTGCGATTTCCAGCTCCCAATGTCAGTTGTGACCACAAATGTGACACAAAATAGGGGAATGTATTTCAGGGCACACAGATGGGACCAAGTAGATCTTAATATGCCCGTGTCTATTTATTTATACCAGGTGTATACTGACTCCATTTGCTAATACTCTCTGCGAAATTCTCTCCCCTTCTCCCCATGATGGTGCACAAAACTATGATCGATTTGCTAAGTGTAATCATTTAATAGTCTATTAGAGCACTCTTTTCTATAACATTGAGAAAACGAGTCGATGAGCGAACAACTGTTTTCGGATATTACTAGTCATGCGTCTACACACACACACACACACGCAAACACACACACTTCTATTACTCTCTACCTCCGAATATTGACTTTAAATGAGCCAATGGCTGTGATTATGTAAGGATTTTTTTTCCACTATATGATATGTAAGAGCATGACTAGGAATATCCGAAAACAATTGTTCGCTCATCGACTCGTTTTCTCAATACTATTATAGGAATATTCAAGCTTTTCTATAACACATGCTGTCTGCAGAAATCGTCATACACTAAGTGCAGTACATTCTCTTCGCTCCTCATAGTTTGAACCACGTAGACGGAAAGGAGAGCATGGTTTAAGACATGATATTGTCAGATAGTAATTAATGTAAGCCACTTTTTTCATTACAACCTTGTTTAGGACATTTTGTCATCATCAAATTAGAAGCAAATCTAAAAACAATCTATGTGGTTTGCTTTCTGTAGTTGATGAACACCGTCAAATTTGGCTGAAGCTCTCAAACCCAAAAGCGACATTCCAAGTATTTCGCCACGTGTATTACTTTAACTAACCTCCCAATTTGTGTCACACGATGACATTCGTGAGGAGTGTAGATGAGCTGAACTTACCAAACTACCGACATCAATAATTCCCTTTAGCTTTTTTGGTTAACTCTGGTTTTTTCACACTCCATAGCATGGACAAACTTTCTCCATTGCGTTTTCTTCACCACTGTAATCCAACTAACTGGGTTCATTGAACTTCGCTTGTATGTACATGGCATGCAGAGTATGATTACTATAAGAGTAATTAGTGGGTATTCCCGCGACAGGACTCAGGTATACAGCGAAGTACTAAAAGTTTTACTATTTATCCGATTTTCCGTACATGTCACTTGCAAATGGCTTCTAATGAAGTGCCAGGTTAATATTCTGCCAATGGTTCAATCAGACCCAGGTCCGATATTCAATGACCAATTATTCACCAAATGTGAACCCGGGGCTCCCAGGTTCGAACCCCTTCACCGCAGCTCGTTTTCCCTATTTCCGTATTTTTCCAGGCAGCCTTTGAATGACCACCCTCACCCCCATTCGTGAAAATTGACTGTAGGTTTGAGTAAATAATCAATAAAGAAAGTAAAATGACCAAACATTTTTTATCCTCAAAATCAGTAATTCGTTTCCCTTGTGTTTATTCCAACCATCGGGCTCATTGGCACTCCAGGAACGTAGATCATCCCTGGTCTCTTTTTCCAACGATAGTGAATTCAATTTGCAAAGTGTAGGGTTCTATATCTACGACACAAGGGGCGATTTTCATAGTTCCTCGGAAATGAACAACTACCACACGCCTCGAGTGAGAAGGACCTGGGTATCATCATTCAAGAAACCTGCTCACTCAACTACGCCAGGGTTTGGAATGCAGCTGTAAAGAATGTCGGTCTGCTTAGGTTTGTCTTTGGTCGGTTTAAGTCATCGCTTTTCCCCCGGCTTTTATCAGCATACATTCGCTCACTCATGGAGTACGCAATTCGGGCATGGAATCCATGGCTACAACATGATTGCAAAATCCTGGAGCGTCCACAAAGGATGGCTATCAAAATGGTAAGGGGTTGAATCAATATTAATGCGCAGCGCGACTGAAGTCGTTGGGGTTATATTCCAATCACTGCCGAATAATGCGAAACCCAAGCCATCCGTGTCGCCGGCTGCAAAAATCACCACCCAACGTTCATCGTAGAGGATATCCGTTCAAACTATTTGTCTCAAAATACCGATTGGAATGCCGGCGTTAATCATTCGCAGTCGGAGTGTGTTGGATCTGGAACTCTCTCCCACCCCACGTGGTCTGTGCGCCAAGCATTGAATCTTTCAAACTGGGACTCGATGAAGCATTAAAACACCTTACATTCCAACATAAGTGAAGCAGCGTGCAGCAGTGGAAGAAGCCCATGACGTTTCACAAAATGAGTTGCATGTATCAGTGTCTTTTAACCACAACACGAACCTGTGGGACGAGAAAAGCATGAGCTTGCAAGTTATTCCCATAATGAATATTTGAATCTTTGAAAGCATTTGTGTATTCCGGGGTTCTGCTACTTTTTTATCGCCCCCCCCTCCATCATCATCATTGTATGTCAGTCTCTAGATGCAACGTTAACTCATTTCGCCATAGACTCGCAAATTTGCATCGCATTCGTGAACTGTGCTTTACTGTTTACCGACCAATGTCCTCATGTGGCCATTTCTGCAACCATGCTCACCGCCCACCCCTCCGATTTCATGGTAACTTTCCAAAGTGTATGCCTTCTTCAAACAAATGAGTATCACATAACAATTCTAACATGTGATCTACGTTCTGAAAAGACTAGTAGACTTCCAGCATGTTTGCGCTTATACGTTTCTCATTTTTCAGTTCTATGCCAACTCGACTTTCTAGAGCCGTTTTATTTATGGACTGCACAAACTGAAGTACCCTTATATTTAAGGATAGAAGGATCGATGCGCATTGTGTGGAATTTACCTTAGAGATTTTAGGGTGGTAAGCTTGGATTATCACATTCGTTTGCTAAGAGGCACCAGGCACTGTTGATGTTCTCGGGTATGGGTTTCACTCATTGGGAAATCGGTAATTCTGACAAGTTCATGCATTTACCTGTCCTTGATAACCCAAAGAACGTCAAGAAAGCCTGATGCTCCTTAACAAACGAATGGTTTAATCTAAGCTTGCCACTCTAAAACTGATTGAGCCATTCACACAAGGTGATGACTGTCGACCATGTAGCTCAGGGGTAAGGGTTTGAAGTTCCAACCCGAACGTTCGCGGTTCGAGTCCTGACAGGAACATAGAAGGTACTCGCCGCTGACGAGTACCAAACGGATGTAACAGCTGTTCAGTGCTCTTTCTTGACTCAACGATATTTAAACTCAACTTTTATACTGGTGAAAATCGCGAGGATTCAAGCTGTCATCTACAATTTATATAACCCACCTTTCCAAATAAGGTTTGCTGTTCTATGCGTCTGATCTACTTCCTCTGGCTGTTTTCATTCAACGAACGGACGATGATACCAATACTTTGGTTTACTTTTGGGCTCGTTGGAGGAGGGTTGTTGAAAGTTATTACTTATTTGCGGGTCACTGTTCATCACAACAAGGTGGTGTTCCGCCAATTTGGAACAGTAAGCATGCTTGGCTGTGTGCAGTCCTTTCGTCTTAGAGCCTTGGGAGTCGGATTAGGGCAGGGCTATTACAAACGGATTACACAATTTCGCTGCCTATAAACATCACATCACATCAAAAGTTTACAGTAGAAAAATTAACTTATTTGAACTGACTATCCTTCGGATTTCACATTAACGCACAAAACATTCCTCATTTCATCGATTCATCCATACACTCGGAATCACTAGACTCAAATTTCGCTCTTATTGGGGCTCATCAATAGTGCATATTCGGTGTTCCGTCCGGGATTTGAACTCCGGACCCATCGCATGGAAGGTGTGTGCGTCACCACTGTGCTAACCAGCTCATACCATGGCTTAACCAAATTGCAAATTCATGCTTGCTCAGTTATCCTTCTCAGTTAGGAGGTATTCAAGAATCGCGCTAGCCCCTATTCAAATCAGTACCAACATCAGCAATATTGCTGGTCGGAAAGAGAGTCTTGTTATTTGATCAGCAACTTAAAAGACCCGTGACGCCAGCGAATATATTTTCAGAACAATAAAAAGTAAAATAATATGTAATTGTATTTGAACGTATGCACATATAATGATAATAATCGGCAACTTCTGATTGTTTACACTTAGTTGCAGATTCTCCAATACTGAACCACATTGCGTTGTACTCATAGGAAACTGACAGTCGCTCTCATTCTGCCTAACTCACCCCACCTCTGGAACACAAACAAATCAGGTGGATAAAAGTTTCACGGTGTCCGACAGAAGCAACTTCTTTGGATGAGATAGTTAGTTATACGTTGAAGAATATACGATTGAACTGATTTTGTACAACACACAGTTAGTGTGCCTCTGTCAATTAACGAGTTTGTGTGTCTCTGTGTGTGTGGTGTGCTGAAGTGAGTGAATACTTGAGTAGGAGACTGATCACATTTTGCTTCAATCAAAACAGGTCCGCTCCAGACCCGTCACAGTTCGATTCATTCATGTCTGTATCACAATAGTACCCACAGTAGCACAGTCGACAGTGACGCCGCTTACACCGAACCCGATGGCAATACAGTTTGAGAAATTGGGCCCGAACAACCGGATTCGATAAGAACATTAACGGCATAAACAAGACCCAACCGAGCAAATACCAACCTTCCATCAACTGTTTGACCAGTTCAGCAAATTTCAGTAACTGGTAATTTTTTACAAAATTTGTGTTTGCTGTGTGACGCAGTTTATGCACCCAAAGCCATTCAATGTCTGGTGGTAGTGTGAACGTTAGCAAGCAACAGGCCAATGCAATAGCCATCCGCAGGTCTGCCCGGAAATCGGAAACCAAGGGAATCGCACAGTGTCCTTGCCGCATATCGACTGGACCATAGTCGACCAAAGACCGTTTCAAATGACCTTGAAATCCATTTTTATCAACGTGATCACAAAATGTCTGCGCGGATCTCTTGCCCACGTGTATTCGCACAACACACGAACGACATTTTCGTGTGAACAGTGTTCGTCCACCGAGTTGAGAAGGTATGGCTGCTGCTGCTGCTGCTGCTGTCCATTGAGCTAAATCCTTGGATGCTTCTCGGTTTTCCTCACAGTCCAGTGGGACAACAATTTTTGATGGTGTAGTATCCGTGGTCTTGGATTCCGGCGCGCGGCATGCACAACCTCTAATCCAAGCGATATGAATCAGGCCGGCCAAACAAATCATGTCAGGAATGAGACAAAGCGATACCTGAGCGATGAAAAGACAAAAAAAGTGTATTGTTGCAAGTTATATAAAATTAACAAAATAATTGAATAATGATGGAGCGAAGACATGTCGACATATCTCAAAATTCAATTTTCCTTCTTATTCACTAATATGAAGCACACGCACAAGCACTGAGTCAGTCGTTACTTATGAACGGATGTGCACAAAAGAGAGAGATCAGTGCTTCCAATCCTGGAAGGAAAAGGTTAGATCGATGATAAGGGCATTGGGTTGCACCAACAAGTTACAAATGCACAAAGTAATCTGGTTATCATTGCTTGACACAGTCAATTATTTTGCATCAGTGTTATGTAACGGTGATGTGAAAGAGGAAGCAGTGTCAGTTTGTTTTTGGTTGTGTTTTGGTATTGTGTTTCGTCAAAGACTAACACCAAACCTAGTCTCACGATGCGTATCCCAACGATTCCAGTTAAATGACAGTTGCAAACAGTGCAATTCTTTGTAGTTAGTGCCAGAGAAAAGTGGATTGAGAAAAAGAAAAACGTGCAGTCCAAATGGGGGTGATAACAGTCAGGTTGTTTGTCCGGTATCGGGGCTATGAGGACGCCGATAAAGAGGTTGCACAAACCAGGTTGCCGTTTTTTTGATCGTGACCGTGACGACCATGTATCCAGGACCCCTTGATAAGACACCGACGCGCGTTAGCAGTGGTATCTGATCCAAATCCACTTCAAATTCAAACTGTGAGAATTCTCAAAGGAAGGTTAGGCTTCTCCTGACAACAGGCGTTCTGAAAAAGAAAATGCTCAATCATTCGTTGAGAAAGCGGACGATGTTACCTATGTTTGCCCATGTTGTTTACGTTAGCGTAATTGCTTGCCAGCCTTGTGTACGATTGTATAAACCGTTACAGCGAGTAGAAAGGCACTGAACCCAATATGAGTAGCTTGAAACGCGCGGTTTGATGTTGATTTCATGTTTCCCTACCTATTGTTCAGTTTATGATTTCCTGCCAAATCGAGGTAGACGTAGACAGCTTTCTAGTATACTGTTTGAAATAAGTTAATATGAATATTAAAGCATTTTTCTGAGTAACAGTTTCGTTGAAGCGTCTTTTGTAGTTCCTCACCTCCTTGTTGCAGTGTGTCTTGACAAAAAAGAAGCATGGTTTGTTCCACGAAGCCTCTTTAAACATGTATTATCCCTCCTTAACTTACGGGATAAATTTTTCACTCTTGAGGACCTGACCTTTTGTGAGTAGAGACTGCCAGTTCCCAGTATCACGCAACAAATCATGAGAAGTTTGCTGTATTTCTCGTACTCGGATGGCAGGCAGCTCTACTGTCGTCCAGGTTTAATAGCACGCCTAATCTATCGGGGCCTTGTGTGGTTTGCCACTCCAAGTCCCGGGACTTGGGTTGCCAGTTTCCACCCCTGAATAGCAGATCCTCGTGACTATGTGGTTCGCCCCATCTGCTGTTTATCACACTTAGGTGTGTAACAAAAACATAACAAGGATGTTTTCACAGCACCAAAGAGATATTTTGTTGGCCGGATGTATGAGAGCACATTAAACATGATGATGAAGCCCGATTGCTAAGTGCCAGGTTTGTGAGGAGCCTGACCAAAAGCAAATGAAAGAGCCGACGAGAAAGAGCACAGCAGCTGATTTATCATGGAAACTGGTGATGCTTGAGAGAACCATCTGATAACCATGACTCATATGGTGGTTTATTTGAAGTTGATTTAGTAATCCGGACGGCTAATGAGATACATAGTAGGGAACGCTGGCTTTTCATACGTCAAGGAACACTAACTCTCTAACGTTCTCAGATGATGACGCGGAACCTTGTTTCAGTCGTTTAATGAGCGAGACAATTTGAACTTCACTTGTCTCTTCACTTTGTCCCTTTTTTAGTCGATGGAACACCAAATCTCAAAACTTATTCAATCGGACAAAGAAATTGAACAAAAATGTGATGCGAATAGAGGCCAGTTCGTACGCTGCTCTCTCCGAGCTACAAGACATGATGATCCACCAAATGAGACTGGCTCGAGTAAATGTCTGTCCGACACCACGGCCGCAAATCAACAACAATCATTACGTTAAAGTTAAAGAAGACCTTAGTGATGTGAATGAGGTATTACCGTTGTGGCAGTAATTTGCCGTGTCAAATAAGCCCAGATGATGTGGGTTGAGTGCAACCACTGGAACAAATGAAAAAATGTGGGTGAGAGGAAAACCGATTTATCTCTTAACCGCGATAATTACCCGCAAAATGTTGTGGCTAGTGCCTATTTCGGACAACAGGAATTTACTTAAGGCGGAAAGCCCCAGTAATCGCATTCGGACTACTGTCAGAATCACGAACGACGTGCATGGTACAAACATGATCACTGAGGACAAAACACCAACGATAGTGAAGAACAGTGTTCATGACCAGCTTTTATAGTTGGTCGATATCGTTATATGATTACTACAAGACGTATTTTTTACGTTTTCGGAGAAATTGATTGAAGCTGACTTCGTCTACTCCCACGATTTTTCCGTCGGCTGTGCTAGCCAGAAAATCAATAAATAATCGTTCTACTTTCTTCTAATACTTCCATAACAAAAGTGTAACCCTTATTTAGGATGAGAGCAAAAACTGTGGGATAGCTTCCAAGAGGGACTTAAAAGGCAGAGTGTTAATAGTATTAGTTCAGCTGATTAATTACTGAACAGTGAGTGAACGGATTATGCGGTTCATATGGAATGCAGGAAACAGATTCCGGTTTAGGCCGAATGGCAGCAAAAGAACGTTAAGTTAAACATTAGACTGGAAGTAAAATGCTGTTAGAAACAGGTGGATGTGTGAAATTACTGCAGAACGACACTCGGGAATCGAGTGCATTCCGTCACGGGTTTAAAAGGCCTCCCCCTCCTTGTAAGAAAGTCATGGTACAAATGGAGAATAGGAATACGCTGTCATTTCTAAATGTTTGCAAAATTCGTGAGTGAAGTGCTTCCTTAAATAATTCGGCACACAAAAGCATATTTATTCAGTTAGCGAAGAACAGATATCTATACTGTTCCATTCAGTTATACAATATGGTTCTATCTTTGCTTTTGTAATCCAGTTTCTACTCATTATTTTCTCATATTTAAACAAATGCTTCGAATTCAAACTTTATTGTTTGAACTGATTTAATCGAAGTGTAAATGGGTGATTCAGGGGTTATTATTTTGGGGTAAGGACAACATTTGACCCACGGTTGCAATATGTTCCTAATTTTGGAAATGCATTTCAGTTTCCACTGTCATACAAGCATATCGGTAGCCATGAGTGAGAAGCATATATTCCAACTTTCATCTCCCACTACAATTTTCCTTGGTTTCGAGTTTCAACGTTTGAATTTGCATGAACTTGAGTGAATGGGTAAAATGTCTGGTAGATGTACTTAAGAATAAAACAGACAATTTACCGGAATAATTAAATAAATGAGTTGCATGGATAGAAATCGTTCACGTGAAATCACCCATTCTGAAGGGACTCAAAATATGTTCTACGAAACAGTCAATCACCGGTAAAAATTGACCTTGAGGTGTGTGGCTGATAAAATAAACGTTTTTTACTGTCACCATGTCCAAACCCCTCAAGCACTCCAGATATTCTGGCATATAGATAGCGACCAGAGGCAACTGTTCTAACTGTATGATCCTTTGTTTTTTTTTGAAGAACACAATTCACAGAACTGAAGATGACTGACTATAATTGTGTCAATTCGATTTACACGGTCAACATTTGAAATACAGATCAATAAAATATCGGGTCTGTCAATAATGGCGAAATCGCTAGCAAGACTGACCGAGTGTTTGATGCGAGTGAACTGTAGCAAACTTTAACTAATCACTCACCAAAGGGAGGCATAAGTCCAATGCCTCAGTTCGTGACGTGTAAGTGCTTTTACGTGAATAGTAATCTCATTATCAACGGAACACGGTCATCAAGACATGAATCAAGAGAAATACAACCGATCACGTAGAAGTAAGACAATGGTTCAATTTGATTTCAGCTGAAAAAAGTTGAAAACAACTAACATGGAAGATAGTCTGGGTGTAGTCACCAAACTTTTCTGATGCCTCTGTTTGGAAATAATGGCTCGTTCCGGACTGATATGAAGCCCGTATTGACCGTCGAACAAAGGAGAACACACGCTGATTTTACCAATACATTCAACTGGCGTTGGCCGTCCACAATGATGGTTAATAAATAATACAGAGGCCGAGAAAGATGATCTGTTGACCAAGGTTGCCAATGAAATTCATTTCATCTGTCAAAATATCCATCCCGCCTAATGGGACGCATAGTAAGCGAATACTGAGCGCCTTGTGTTTAGTCTCCGAAGCAAGTCACCCTGGAAACCACGGAATGTGTTGCACCGGTTAAGCAAGTTTTCGATGACTGTCAATCTCGAAATACATCCGCGGAAGTCTTTTTTCACAAATGAGTTTGATAATAGAAAACTGTTAGACGTCATTAAATATTATTTTTCACATTTATACAGTTTATGACTGGATCAAGTCACAGCAGGTAGGATTTGAATGTACTCTCAAACTTCTTTCTGTATTGGAGACAGAAATAAGTTAACTGCTTCGATAGTGGTCGTCAGTGGTTACGGTGAGCTACATATTAAAGAAAATTGGCAAATGCTGTTTAACAGTCAACTTTGTGGGCTCCATGCAAAAATGACTAACTCCAGTGTTCAAAATGAAGACGGGCCAAATTGAACATCGAAAAATGAAAGAACAATACATGTGTCAAGCCAATGAGTCATTTTAATAAATAAATTCTTAACATATTATTCACTGAGATCGTGTTCTATCATAACTGATGCACCAGAAACCGTCATTGAAATCGTACATCTTATTGGCATTCGGCAAGACCCTTACACACATTCACGCACATGGAGCAGAAGATCGATCGCCCTCCATAAAACCACCTAACTGCTCTCAG